ACAGTAGGCGCAGCGGGGGCAGAAGGCCTGGAGGTAGTCCTCCTCGCAGTATGCCAACCCGCCTCGCTCAAAGAAGGGTCGGCCACCCAGCTTCTGCCTGCAGCAGGCACAGGTGAAGTGTTCGGGGTGCCAGGTTTTGCCCAGAGCTGTGAGCACCTGTACAGAGGTGAGAGCAGCTCTGGGAATGCTGTGAGCTGAGGGCAAGGGGTCACCAGGATGGAGGCTCTAGGGCTCACCTTGCCAGCAATGGGCTTGTGGCACGCAGCACAGATGCCAGTGGGGGTGGCTGTGATGCCCAGCTCCTGCAGGTCCTGGGTGAGGCTGTCCAGCATGTTATCCAGCGAGCGATCGGGCTTTGCTGGCATCCTGTCTCTCTGCCCTACAGTCATTAGCTGCCAGGAAGGAGGGTGGTGAGGGCTGGGTGAGCGCCAGGTCCCAGCCTTCCTTCTCCCAGGGTGAAGGTTCACCTTGCTCTCTACGTGTTCCAGGTCAGCCAGGATCTTGTCCAGCTGCCCCTGGTACGGAGCTGATGGGCACAGCAGAGAGTGAGAGATGCTGCAGCTTCCACACTAAGTCCAGAGGATGTCTGGCACTGAGAACCCTCCACCCCACGAGACCATGAGATGCTGTCCTTTCCCCACAGGCCACAGACCATGCGTGGGTTGGGGGAGAATGCTGGAAGCCCAGCCCTCCTCACCCCAGCAGTGCTGCAGAGATGCAGGATACAAGCCCCTGCCCTAGCAGGGGACTTTGTTTTTTTGAGGATATGCAGGACGCCAGGTGAGCCTGGAGGGTATGTCCAAGTGATGGAAAGGGTGGCCCCAGATGGCTTTGCTGTCTCATGACCATGTTTTACCTGTATGTGGTCTTCAAAGCCTCTCTTAGAGGCTGAGCCTGAGGCGGTCGCTGCACCTGGAAGGATAAACCCTTGCAGCTGAGCCCGCAGGATGCTCCCCAGAAGCAGGCATCCTTCACTGCCTGCCCAGCACCACACATCCCTGTCACAAACTGAGCAGAGTCTCAGCCGTGAGCCCCGCTGTGCCGAGGTGTTACCTTC